TTGCAATTTCATGGCATGGCGTTGTTGTTATCCATCGGCCACCCGCAGTTTTTTTTTTTTTTGTGAGATTCCCATTTGCAACCAGTTATGCTTTGAAAGTTGCAATCTGGTGTGCAAGTGTGTGTGGTGGTAAGCGTGGCTGATATGAGAGAAAAGTGGAAAACTGGGTCATGTCAATAAAATTGTACGCTGTGGATTTGCTCGGAGCTGAACGTTTCAAAGCTTGCGCAGATGCACAAACATATGGGCCGTTTATAGTCGAGCCTTTATGCTGGTAGCTATATAGTAAACTACATACATATGTATGTGTGTAATACTTATGTACGTACTCGCACAAAGGATGCAATCCAGTGGTGTTATCAGCAGCAATAACTAATAGCATTATACTGCGATTATTAATGAAATTTTATCAAAATGAAAAGTAAGCTTGTAAACGAGTCCTTACTATCCAGTGTTCATATAAGTGTTTGGAAAAGGCAATAAAGATTCAACTTCGAGTCAACATATTGCCAAGTAAAAGCAACAATTTTTTTACAGAGGCCATACCGAGTATGCCTTTGTCTCGTGACTTTTTGACTTTTATTGGTTTGGGAAAAGATTGGCTAAAATTTTTTGCTTGTTATTTTTGTGTAAGGTCAATGTGAAAGGCAAAACTGAGAGTGCTTGATATTTTTTGAACAGAAAATAAGCACAATTTTTGATTTTTATATTTTAGGCATCTATAAAAAGCAAAGTTAAAATATAAATTTTACTTTTAACCTGAAAGTTGGCCAAAACGCCAGAAGAACCCAAACAATTTCTCAAAGTTTCGAAAAGAAATGCCAAAAGTTCTCAATAAATAAAGCACGAGTAAAGCTGAAAATATCCCGGATAGTATGTAGTAACATAGAATCCCGAAAAGTTACAAAAAATCGTTGATGGTCCCGAAAAAATTCCTAAAAAAATAGCGAAAAGTTTACTTATCCGAGCCAAAATATAGAAAGCAAAAATTACCCGTTATTTTCCACCCATTTAACGTGAACCTCAAAAATAATAGGACTCGGATTTTTATAAAATTGGTTGGTGGGTCGGTTATGGTGTTGTTTGAGCTTCGGACCAGAACCAAATTAGCGCCGTGAATGCCATTTTGCACGTGACGGGAGGCGTATTTTGCCTGCATATTCACAAAGGGGTCCCGTAATTGAGGCTGGGGATTTGCCCCTGTGTCTAGAGTATTTTTGCAAGCCAATCTCGAAATTAAAATTTTTTTTGGGCCAATTGGGGGGTCGCCTTTTCACATTTTGCGTCATATCTTCGGCATTTACAGTCGGACCTTAAAGGATGATATATCGATGTTCATGTCTCGAGGAAACAATTTCTTTTGTTAGCTTAAGTACTTACTCCGCTCTAGTACTTACTCATCAGATTTTTCAGTTTTTTCCACCTTTAAGTACCACCCTAATGTCGAAAAGTTCAAGCTTGCGAAACTTATTAAACTTTTGCTAATAAAGTATTTCGATTATGTCGGTAGAACTAGTTTTAAAAATCTTTTTATTGCCGAATGTACATTAGGGTGATCTAAAAAAAAATTCATGTGAAAAAGTAAGGTCGGAATTTTTATGTTGGCTGTGGTTTCAAGTTCTCTAAACATTTATTTAAGCTTTTACAGTAGACAGTAGTAGTAGACAGATAGTATTTTGCTATCGGAGAATTCTGTTCCTCTTCAGGGGATTCCCAATAATAATACCCAATTGTTTATGTAAAAATTTTTACAAAGTAATAAAAAATCTTTAGTATTAAAAAATGGTTAAATCAACAACTGGGTATTATTATTGGAAGTCTCCTGAAGAGAAACAGAGTTTTCTGATCGAAAAATATTGATTTTCAAGAATTCTATACCATTTCTACAAAAAGTTGTTTTTTTACCATATAAAATACATGGAAAACTTTGAGCACTTTGAGCGAGTTGACTATTAAAGCTTTTGGTAGATTTATAAATACTAAATGGCTCGGGAATAGTTAGAAAAATCTGTTATTTTTTATTTTTTTAAGCATTGATAATGCTGATAAAAATTTGCTCGCGATATTTTGTTAGGTTTATGAATATATGAGAAGGAAGTTTACTTTTCAGTTGATTATTTACTT